CCTAGAAATCCTTATGACAATGCTCCCTGGGAAATTTTAACACGCCACTTCACGGTAGTTTGCTTTCTGTCTGATTTTCAACCTATCCAGCAGAAATTCGTAGACTTACTAAGTTTTTTTAGGCGTCAAGACATTACTATTGAAACACTGACTAACTATTCCGTGGGAAAATCGATTTCATTGTTCCACGCTTACCTGTAACGCAGTTGAAGGCCGCGCATTTAATGCCATGGAAACGGCCTTGAAACTAAGTTAGCTTGTATCTGTCTAGTTTCATTGTTACTTCAACTGTCGGCTAATGTATGAGTAATATCCAGTAGATTGAAAGCTGATAGAATAAGCATAAGGAGTTTTTCGACAAGTTTCGTTGCTGTAATACACGGATCTGTCAGGTTGCCCGTGGATTCACTCAGCAGGTTTCTGTTACTTGAACAATTTGATTGGTTCAAGTCGCTCTGTGCACACATCAAGCTGAGGATTCATCACTTCAGTGGCCCGATCGTGCACCACACTGTTCAGGCCTCCTGCCAGTGAAACTGTGTTTACCAGGAGCCAGAATATGTCAGTCACTTCGGATAACGCGTTAAAACCTCGCAATCGATACCCGTCTGCTGGCTCACACTATAACTCGCCAGTGCATGATTCCAAGAGTGAGGCAGGATACTCGAATGCGAGTAAAAAGAGTTGGGCATCTTCTGCTGCCCGATCCTCTGCTTATCCACGAAAAGGACAGACTTTGGGGGACATAGAACTCACCCCCGAGGAACAGGCACATTTAGAAAGTGTACTCTTGCGGTTTGATCAGTTCAAACAAAAGGAAGAAGGGAGGATAAGGTGAGTATTTTCCACGTGTATCACATTTATTATGTTACGTAAAGAAAAGGGTTTACTCAGTGTCAAAAAGTAGATTACTCATTTAAATGTCTGCATACTCCTAGTCATACAATGTTTATGCTTCAAGTTGGGCGGAGTCGGTCGCGGAATTCCAAACAGCTTTATTATGCAATACTCACTGATACAGGATAACATTAAATAATTTCGGACGGTTGGCCGGCTGGTTAATTTAGGCGCAGAGAATTGGTTGGTCAGGTTGCTGACCTATAGCTAGAGTGCTCGGCTAGCAGATATTTTACTCAACACAAACGGGACGGTTGTACACTAGCATTCGATAATTTGTCTCAACGGAGTCGGAGTTTAGTTCGTCGCCTTGTCCTGCATTAGAGGTTCAATAACCTTACATCATCATTGCCTTCTGTATCAAAATAATTTAGTTTTCTTTCATGGAACACCGGGCTCGAAACGTGCTTTTATAAAGCCCAATTTTTGAAGTTGCATTACACTGAAATGTTGATCTGGAGAAAATATCTGGCGTCAAATTAATTGCTTTCAAGAGGTAATGAGTTTGCGGCGTGAGGACATGCTCAACCACAGAATAAACTGAAAGATCGAGCTAAACTTCAGGATGGAGTTTTATTGAAATTGTGGATGCTGAACTCCAAGGTAGCGATTGTGACTACCACACAAAATAGACTAATGGCTATAAAAAGCTCGCAGAACTTGGACGTTTGTAGTATAAAAACAATGCGTAATAAATAATAATAATAATAATAATAATAATAATAATAATAATAATAAATTTTTATTATTATCATGGACAGCGTGGTATCAGTGTTAATCGCTGCCGTACTCTGCGTGATTCTGTTGTGTACGTGGGCTGGGGTAATGCCAGGGCACCCACACCTAAACAGGAGGACAGTAAGGGACCTCAAACAAAATCTTTGTCTCGAAGGCCTGACCGCTGTGTGGCAGTATTTAATGAAAACGAAAAACTTCGCCACCAACCTGGAGGATCAGAACTCTAAAAATTCACCAACCTGGTATGAGAGACCCCACACGTGTCGTGCGGACACTCCCCCAGTATAGCGCAGTGGGCCACTGAATTACACCACTGTCCCCCGCTGTAAGGTTCAGTCTCCTCCTGACCGAGTTGAATATTGAGCTCTTATCCAGTGATACTCCGAACCACCTGCAATTTTGCTAATTTGCCACATGTTCGTGAGATGAACCTACAATCACTCGTGGCTTGGCTGCGACCTCAGGATTAACTAGCATGTGCTCAAACCCACTGTTTTCATCGGTAAAGTAATGATTTATCTGCGCGGTTTTTACCTGCTTCTATACAAACACCCTTCAGACATATATAATGACGAATTATTTTGGATAGCCAAGACACCGCTCTCCTTCATTGTTGCAGCTTGTAGACATTCACCTCTGTACCAGATTAAAGAGATTTTTAAAACATGATCACAAATGTGAAGGAAGAGAAACTTTTGGGCGTGGTGTTTTATCTTACCCGACTCAAATTTTGATGGCGTAACGTCACCGTTTACGCACAACTAAGCTGATTTTGTAGGGTGAACCATTTGTAAAAAACAGCACACTTTTCTGAACCAATAATATGTTCCATTACCCAAGCTCAGATGCCGTTCAGCCTCCTTGTTGATAGATTGCACCAACCCTCCCATATATCCCATAAAGTGAACAAATCTCATATTTCAATCTATAGGCAACCAGAACCACCTTCAGGCCTCACGATTAGTAGGCTGATTGATGTCCCTAATCCCACATAGCATTAGTCCGAGCCAATTTATCCAGACTATTTGGTTCAAGTAAGTTTCCGCTATATGCACTGTTGTTTGATTTTATCAGAGTCAATATACAGTAATTATGTGTGATTGTCATCGGTCGCTGTATCGAGCGAGGATGTTTAGAAGGATTCTTTAGCGCGTATACTGAGTTCTAGTCTTGTAGCTTTAAAAAGTTTGAACAGTATTAGGCCGATGACAATATATCAACAGTCTGCGTAAAACGAATTTCCCAACCAGATTGTTGAAGAACAAAGATACGTACTCTTGATAAAGGAAATGCATACGTCGCACTGGAGAATGCAACCTCTGATTTGCTGTTGGGGTGAATGTTGGTAGCTCAAGTAGCTTCGATTGTTGTTGGTTTGCTTGCAGAGCTAATCTGAGCACTTTGATTGCAAACGTTCCATCACAAGTCGGTATGACATTATCAGTGAGTTTTTAAAAACTGGAGTGGAGCACCTTAAAACGTGCTGATGATTTCATATCAACTGGTGACGAAATGACTGCAATCGACAGATCAACGACCATGTACCCTCTGATGTTTAATATGAGTTCAAGAACTGCACTAAATTCCTCATTCCTCCAACTTTCTGAGTAATATTCGCTGTCTTTGGCAATATTTGTCGATTTGCAAAATTTGAAAATCGAACGTATAGGCTGTCAACTCAGTGCACTACTCCTGGCAGATTTTAGAAATTGGTATATATCTGAGCTGTCCTCTCACAGTATTTTGCGTCACGGAGACTGTAAACGGACGAAATGCTTGGATCAGTTCTGTGGTGACCATAATTATTACTTAATATTAATTAATATTAATGTTAATTATAACATATTAATTAATGTAATTAATCCCCGGACGGCAGCTACACGTTCTAACTATCGATTAAAAGCCCGAAATTTTGTCTTCAATGTCCAGTTCCTTCCAAACGGTTACCCCAGAGGCTCAGAAGCTTTGTCATGGTGCTCCTCTTTTGTACCAGTAGCCCTTACTGAGCTTTTTCAAAAGATATTTGTGGCAGAACCAACAAGGGCAGTCAATCCCAACTAATTGCACAATCATCACCGTTTTGTAATGGCAAACTGACAGGCGCGGTTACGGGTAGCAAAGTTTAAAAAATATGAAATGTTCCAGATTAGGGACAGATTAAACTTAACATAGCGATTTGATGCTTTTGACCACGTGGATAACAGCTATACAGTTTTATTGTAGTGTACAACAACGGAGGCGGAAAATTAGCTATGGTCGATTGCATTGTGAATTTCATTTTAGATCCTTCTGATTCCAAGCAGTGTACGACCAGTGCTTGACGTAACCTTACAGGCCTTTGTTGCACACACTGTTTTCCATAAACGGCTCAACATCATCGGATATGAAGTCGTTTTAAAGTAATGATTGTGTCATTCTAGAGCAGGTGGGTGAAAGTGTGGCTGACATTTCAGAAAGAAATTTAGAAGGCTAAGTCGCTCCGCCATTTTCTGAACGCGAAGTCCGTTATGTGTGCTATAGGCGTATGCATTTCAGTTTCACCGGAAACTGAATTAGGCAACAAACCAGCCTGCTGACATTCAGTGTTCCCGAATATTTTTCTCAACATATCGTTCTCCGTTACAAACAATCGGTCAGCATACAACACACCGTTTCAGGCCATCCTAGAACGAGTTTCCTATTTTGGACTTCAACCTACATAGCAGCCTTTACTCTACTTCAGAAACCCCAGAATCTTTGTGCAGTTTGATCTGCAGAACGTTAATAGTTGAAGCAAAAGCTCCAGCGATATTAAAAGAAGATAACCATGTAATACATTCACTGATGTTGTCCACCGGTTCCAGTAGCTGTGTGATGAAGAAGGCAAGAATCGTGTTCAAATTGTGTCATAAAGGCGCCATCCTTTACACACTAAATTTTTCATCTGTGTGAAATTATTTCATCCGACCAGCATAGTTCTGCTAAAAAGGGAATCATACAATGGCAGTAAATCTACAGGGAAGAGATGGTCAGTGGTTAGAGCGCGAATTTACTGACCGGAAGGTCCGTGTTTTGAACCTGACATTTGCATCTCGACTTCCCCTGTATAGACCTGGACAGCTCAGCCCTCGTGCCTCCTTCGGGTGCGCGGCAGTTAGGCACCTAAAGGATGCTATAGCTAACGAATAAATCTATAAAACTGCCTGAAAATCTTTTACAAGAGTCTGCATAAATGGGAAGACTTTCAAGAGATACGTTAGCATTTTGGAAAATGTATGGTTTGGGTGACCGAATCCATATGCTAACAGTCGGCCATAGTGGATAGAGTTACTGACACACACCACTGCTTTTTTAACAAGATGCACAGCTTGGGACCACATGGAGGTAATTGTGAGGTTTCCCCGGGGCAAACGGCACACAGGTTCCACTAGTTGTCAGACATACTGAGTGGCATTCCCACACATTTTGCTGTCACTTCCTTACACACGTATTTATCGCTATGTTGAGCATTGAATTTATCTGAAAACATGACACACGGTAAATGGCCGGTCCAAATCTGTTTGGGATATAACTCGAAACTACCCGAAATACGGTGTCGTCGGTTGTGTTCTATTCCAACAAGGCCTTTGTCTGCTAATTTTGTCATGAAAATAGCTATTTACAGAGAAAACAGAAAAAACCTTGTTGAGGTTCATTACCACCTTACTGCAAAGCGAACGACGGATGAATTCCAACTGAAAGCAAGGCTGATTTCACTGAAAGGATGATAAATATTCTACCTCGAGTGATTTAGATTACCTAAGATCAAGGCCCGAAATACCCATTAAACCGTTATATAAACCTGGAAAAACACATTGGAAATGTCATTTCTAATTACTTTTTTGCTTTGGCACGTTATGTGAATTGCATCGGACACTTGCATCTACAACCGGTTTATTCGAACTGTTGCGGAGAAGTCCCCCAAAATTAAATATGTACCCTAGGTTCATGTTCCAGCCGGAAAGACATTAGACAAAATAACTGAAGTCACATAAGGATGGTAGTCAAAAGTGAAAACGTTAACTCAAGATGGGTAGTTAATTAACTAGCTGAGCCATATTTTCGTTGCCGACAAGCGTTCGAACACTGTATGCAATGAAGCAATCGGCTGCCACTTCCGTCCGGACAACTAAAATTGATCGATCAGATACTCAGAGTTCACATTCCATGTTCGTGTAGCA